TGACTAAGAATCAAAGGTAATAAAGGGAACAGTCTCCCAACAAACAACCCTGAAACCACTGCATACCCATAAGCAAGAGAAATTAATCCAGACAAAGGCTTTATCTATTTACAAAATAAATAAATTAATCCAGAATAGATCACAAACCTAACTGCAAGCTGCAAAACTATAAAATCGGAGACTGCACTATGTCAGAAAACCTAGGTGACTATTCATGGTGATTCTTCTGACATGCCACACAGAAGGTGTACCCTGGGTAAAGATAGCATAGACAACGTTAAAATAAAAAAGCTTCTGCCCTTCAAAAGCCAATGAAGAAAATAAAAGGATAAACCATAAGCTAGGAAAAATATTTGCAAAATATATACCTGATTTAAAAAATAGTCTCAATAAATTTTATTTATTTATCTTTGTGTGTTTATTATATGTGCCCCTGCTTGTCTGGATGCATACCACATGCAGTACCTGCATGGGCCAGAAGGGGGCAGAAGATCCTCCTGGAACCAGGGTTTCCCGTGGTTATGAGCCTCCCGAAGTGGGTGCTGAGAATCAAAGCCAGGTCCTCAGCAAGATCATAAGATGCTCTTAACTGCTGAGTCATCTATCCCCAGTAAGACTATTATCTAAAAGTGTAAAGAATTCTTAAAGCTCAACAAAAAGAAGACAACCAGCCACATTATCTTAACAGAAATCTCCCCAAGGAAGACCCTAGATGGCAAGCATGTAAATGATGCCACTTTTGTCGCTAGGGAGTTTCAAACTAAAGCAATGGTGAGACACCCGTTAGAAGGCTAAAATCTAAAATACGCATCATGAAACATTAGTGCGGACATAGAAAATGGCAAAGCCTTTCTTACAAGATGAACACATTTCATCATACAGTCCAACAGCAGTACTTCTTGCTGTCTATTGAAGAAATTAAAAACGTACACAGAAAGCTACCACTCAAGCTCTGTGGAGTATCACGGACCAATCATCGAAGGGGAGAATCAAGAGCCCGGGGCTATTGTTGACTACATAATGAATTTGAGGCCAGCCTGAACCATGTGAAAATCTGTCTAAAAAAAAAAAAAGGCCATGTAGATGTTTGCAACAGCTTACCATGAAGGTGACTTTCAAATGCAGGTGAATGAATAAATGAACTGTGGTGTGTCCTGACAAAGGAAAACTACCAGTGCCCAAAGGAAAAAAAAGAAGAAGGGCTATCAAACCCTGGAAAACCTGCCAAGTGCTTATTCTTATGTGTGCCGCCTGCTCCCAACAATACCAATCTACCTCAGAGAAGATGATGGGCCTGAAAGAAACTCCACATGGAGTTTGCTTTCTTTGTGGCAAAAGTAGCCACTGGGCAAGGAAATGCCCTTGCCTCGACTGCTGACAGTCTGCTGTCCAAACTGGACAAGCAGGAAGAAAAAGAAAGTGGCTGCCGAACTTCGCCACAACAAGATGGGACAGTCCTTCTAAATGTCCTGCTTCACAGAAAAGTCTGTCAGAGACGCTAGGCCTGTAGGCTGAGGGTGGATGGCCCAATGTTACAGAGGAACCTTGGGTGACTGTCCAGACAGCCAGCTGTTTCTGCCATTCCTCGAATTTTTTGGAAGTTGCTTCCTTCACTTCCTGCTTACCAGGGCATTTTTCCTTCCCAGGTCTCTGATGGATTTAAAGACTTTATAGTTACAGTTATAGTTTCCCTTGTTAACAAGTTCAGAAAAGAAATTCACTAAAGAAATGTAAAGTTTTGAGGTTGAGAGACATAAAAAGATAATTTGGGGTTAGTAATGCCCATTAGGATAGAAAGTGAATTAGGTGCAACACTTGGACTCACCAAGATAAGACAGATAATGGAGTTTTGTCAGTTACTAAAGGACTAGGCTTGTTGATGCATCTATTGCCCGTTTATATTGTGCATTGTTGTTGTACTTATTGTATATAGTTTTCCTCATGTTAGTTATAATCTGTTTTTATTTTAAACAGAAAAGGGAAAATGTGATATCTTGTTTGTGCTCTAACAAATAAAACTTGCCTGAAGATCAGAGGGCAGAGCCACACACTAGCTAACCACAGAAGCCAGGCAGTGGCGGCCACACCTTTGATCCCAGCACTAGGGAGGAGGAAACAAGAAGTGGTATGGTTGGTAGAGAGAGGAATATAAGCCCTCTTTTCCATCTGAGGATTTTGTAGAGGTAAGAGCTCTAGTGGCTGGCTGCTCTGCTTCTCTGATCTTTCAGCTTTCACCCCCCTATTATCTGATTCTGTGTTTTTATTATGAAGACCTATTAGAATTCGAACTACACGTATGCTTAAGACAGCTCTCAGCTGAGGGCCCTGTAATGCATAGCTGCATGACTACACTCCCAACATAATGAGATCCTGTCTCAAAACAGTAACAGCAAAGTGGTTCCCGGGGAACAGGGAGGGGGGAAGCACAGAGAAATAAAAGTAACGTTCATTACTGTAGCAAATGCACCACCTTGGTGGGGTATGTTGACAATGGAAAAGCCTTTGCAGAAGTGGATACAGGAAGCACACAGCAACTCTGTTTACTTTTGCTAGGAACCTAAGATATATTTATATAATCACCTTCATGTGTAGCAATAAAAGCACTTGTCTTCACTAAGAAAGAAATGAGTACAGGAAGACAGCGTGGGGATGTGCATGCTTGCTTGTGTGCCTTCACGCCACACACACTTTGTGTCAAGGACTTGACACACCTTGATATTGCAAAATTACAAACAAGAAAAGATTGTTGGGGAAGTGACTAAGAAATCGAAGCCATACCTCAAGTTCACAAACCCTTCCCTTCAGGTTTGTTTTCACAAACAGCATTGTGGGTTGATTGCCTAGAAATGAATACCCACCCAGCCCTCTGGAAGTCACGTAAAAATGGAGTCAGCTGTGGGACCCCCCCATGGTCATATAAAAATGGAATCAGTTGCAGGACCCCCTATTGTTGCTCTACAGCAAATATTTAAAAAAATGAATTTGAAACACTTGTGATAAGGCTGCTTCACAAAGATTGGTCACCCAATGTCATGGAATCCAGAATCATTTGTGTGTCTGGGGACAGAGCAGTCATACAACAGGAAACAGGAAACAACAGAGCTGAGACTCCAGTCCATTGGCTTGTTCCATAGGCTGAGACTCCAGAATTTATTTATCTTTATTTTATGTGTGACTATTTGCTTCCATGTATGTTTGTGCACCGTGTGTGTACAGGGCCTGCAGAGACCAGGATCTACTGGAACTAGAGTTACAAAAGGGTGTGAGCTGCCTTGTGGGTGCTGGGAACCCAATAAGGGTCCTCTGCAAGAGCAGTCAGTGCTCTTAATCACTGAGCCACCTCTCTGGTTCCACAATATCCTACTTTTTAAGCAAACTACTCTTTATCTGTGACCCTCCTTTGAGTATACAATGAGATGTGTATTGACAGTACCATACCTTGATGGGGTATGTACTGTGTATGTTTATCTTATTGATTCTTAAATAAAATACTGTTTGGCCAATGAGACAGCAAGTTAGACAGGACTAGGAGTCAAAGAGGATTCTGGGTAATGTAGTAGAGAAGTGGTGATCCAGGCAGGAAGTGACATAGCAAGGAGACTCATATTTAAAGAAGGAGAAACAGGAAGCGTCCCCTCTTTTCCCCTCCACTCCTGCTCCAGTGGCACAATGTGATCCACCAGCAAGGAGGGACGCCAATAAGGTGTCCGATAAGATACGTCTTATACAGTTTATGCTGGAGAGGATTCGGAGAAAGAGGAACACTCCTCCACTGCTGGTGGGAGTGCCAACTTGTACAGCCACTTTGGAAATCAGTATGGC